TCCAAGAAACTCTAGAAACCACAAATAAATCTGCAGTCTGGCATCAAAGTGCTCTGTTAGGAACATCCATAATAGAAGGAGCTTGAACAGCCAGGACATCAGATATGATCCTGAGGAGGACACTGATGCTCAGTGCCATTGGGATTAAAGCTTAGCGGTTGGCCTTGTCATGTTCACAGCAATCTCTGGTAAACGCCCTGAATCCTGCACAGTTAATGTTTGTATTCACTATATGTGGAGACCAACATATTCAAATAGTTCAATAAAGAACATTTTTCTGAGTGTGATGCATTTTACTGATCTACTTAATCCATCAAAAGCAGCTAAGTAGATAGCTTCAAAGTGACACCAGGTGTTTCCAGACATCATTTGGGATGTCCAGTTTGATGCCTGGTTACCAAAACAACAATCACAAATTTTACTGAAACCTACCAAATTCAGGTAATTCACAGAAGTGGCAAAAGTCACTCAGATGAGTCATTACTTATTTATTCTCTGTATGATCTATTTATCTGAGCAGGGGAATTCATTTATTACCAAATGTTTCAGGTTCATGATTGTAGGGGAGATTGTCAGACAAGGTTATGACTAAATCTAATAATTACTCAAGAAAAGAAAAAAACACTAAAGGCATCAGACTGATGTAAATGCAGAGCTATAGCTCCCATTTAAAGATGAAAGAAGACATCAGTCAGTGTGTATAATATCACAAAAATGGTAGATTTGGTGTGAACATGTCTTCAGTTGTGATGTGACAAATCGTGTTCATAAAGCTATTTGTGTGCTTATTACATAAAACCATTTTGATTGATCAACACCAGATTGATAGGATGAAACAGCTCTGGTTTAGCATCAGTCCTGCTGGGACACAACATTCAATTTTTGCTAGGTCACAAAAAAATACACTTTGATCAGGAGATTCACAACTGTTGAAAATGTTGAGTCATTTAAAATCTCAGAGGGAGTTTCACTTTCACAAGAAAAATCCCTCTTGATTCAACATTAAGAAATCAGCATTAGCAGGAATGAAAGCAACATTGTCTAAGTGGGTCAGAAAAGCACATCAGCAGGTGTTTTAGAACCATCGACATAAATATACTGGACATCTCCTTTCCATAGGCTTCAATATCACGTTTTTGAAGCCAAATGGGAGATGGCCACCACCGCCATTTTGACCGTGTGACAGGTTCCGTCAAGCCCAGACAATTCCACAAAAGGGAAGAGAGGTGGAGCTGAGGGTGGGGCTGTAAGGCTGGGATCAACTGACGACACCCGGTCGAACTAGCTACAAGCTAACCTGAAGCTAACCCAAAGCTAACGCTGAGGTGGGAGCTAAGCTAATGGAGGTAGCAACCTAGCTACAACCGGAGTTAACTGTGCACAACACCAGAGCTTCTGAGTCAGAGGTACGCTGGGCTGACCGCTGGGTAAAACCGGGTGGAACACAGAGGTCTCCCGAGAGCTCCACAAGCCGATAGTCGGAACCCAGCTCCACCAACATGTTATATTTCAACCCATTTTCTAAAGTGCAGCATTATGTTAAATGCACTGGGTTTTACCCTATTACATTTAAATTTCATGGTTAAACAGTACATGTTAAAATCTAAGCTCAGCTCGGCAGTGACCTAAAATACATAAATATAATTTTACTTACAGAAAAAAATAAAGTGGAGACTCCTTGGACGCTCTATTAGTGCAATTAATGCCACAGCAAGTCATTTTGTCCAACAATTGCACAAAAAATATCCAAAAAAAGAAAACACAAACACAGAGACTCAAAATTCCGGAGCAGTTTCCAAGCCAGGCAGATGCTCTACTGAGGCCTTTCCACGGAGCTAGCTCTGTGGTCACGTGTGTCTGATGCTCATTAATTATACAGAATTTTAGGCTTTTAATACACTTAAACAGAAGAGTGAGAAAAAAATTCACCCCCCTCAGAGTTGTCATGAGTATAAACTAGATCATTTAAACCAAAAACATGTTCTGATACCAGGCTGTAAACATGTTTATTTCTGCTGTGAAATTGGTATTTTTAACATGGGAGTCAATGAGGATTTGCTCGCTTCTGACACCAGCCCCCAGTGGATGAGGGTGGAACTGCAATTTTTGGTACTTCCGGGTTTGACTCAATTTTAGAGCTCCATTGTTGGGGCTTGTTTAGAACCCTGGTTGTCTATAATAAAAATATTCACAAGCAGCAACTGTTGTTTAAAAATGAGTTTATGAAGTAGGTATGTTTTAGCAGGAATAACAAGACAAATCAGTGTAGATAAACTTACAGACACTCACATGAAACTATTTTTATGCTCTGATCTTCTGCTGTTTGCGTTTTTGGAACGTTATATATATATATATATATATATATATATATATATATATATATATATATTGCAAATATTGAACTCAGATTCTCAGCAGACGCTCCTACATTCATGTGAGGGAGAAAATGTTCTTAAAGCTCTCAATCACTCATGTTTTCAGCACATTTGCTGTGGCCCCTAAAATAATAATACCCTATGAGGTAGTTTTTAAAAAGCTCTTGGTATCCCTGTTCCAGGAAGTAGAACTTAGACAGAGGAGCGAGGGGCAGAAAACAGCAGAATTTGGAGTCTTACTTATTAATATTCAGACATCTCACATCTGATTGGCTATCATAAATGTGAGTCTTCCATTGAAGGAGTTCTGCCATGTTGAAGAGTTGCTAATGCTAACGGTTAAGCCTAGGGCACACCGGAGACAGAAGCACCGTGCCGTCATTTTAAATAGAAGTCATTATAGTTAATGAGAGTGGCTACACAGGGAGCGTCGTGCTGCTTCCCAGAAGTGCCACGCCGCGGCGTTGAAGATAGATGCCAGTTCCATTACAAGCACTGCGGCTCAGCGGCGGCGTGGCTGTTTTATACATTGTGGAGTACCTTACAGCTGACATTATGACATGGAATGGCTTTACGGCACAAACCCAACCACCGGCACCAACCCGGCTGCAGTTGTTTACTTCTCCATAGTTAGTTTACTTATCCATTTTTAATGAATTGGAGTCTCAAAATACGACGGCAAGTCTGATCATGTAAAAACAAAAAATTTCACTTTCCCCTTCCTTTTCTCAAGTCTCCTGTGATGTTGTGACTATCGCATGACTTTCCAAGAAGCACTCAGCAGCGCATCCTGTGTGATCACTTGACTTCTCTAAACCATGGTGCTTCTGCTGCACCTCTGCAGCGCGGCGCTTCTGTCTCCGGTGTGCCCTAGGCTTTAGCTTCAATTAGCCGAAACATTCTCTGCTTTATCGTGAACGCTAAACCAACAACTGCCTTCCCCGTTGCTAGCCAAGATGGGTGACTTCATGAATGCTAGTTTTCAGTGTGACGTAGATCTGACTGGCTTGTCTAATCCGAGTCTGTTCCCTATCAGCGGCTATTGCAGGACATAGGGGCAGAAAACCCTTTTCACGTTCAGTCTGCATGTGAAATTCCGAGTGACTGACCGTATTTAAAAAGTAAAAAACGGTTTGTCTGTTAACTTGGTCTCTAAAGAAGGCACCATAGTGTGGCTCTATTACACTGTATAGAATAATATTAAAACATCAGGATTCTAATTTGCATGTCTTTTAGGGCCTGTTGGGTCCCTCATACCATGAGAAACTTTGTAAGTCAGGATCTGCAACAGCTTCCCACTCAAAAGGATTACTGTAAGGAGATGCTGTTAACTCGACTCGGATAACAACCCCGGCTCCTGTTACTGCTTTGACACCATGACACCATTAGTCACATGGTCAATTTTGTCCATGTTTTCTGTGCCAAAGTCAAGCTGCGTGGGCACAATGAGCGGAATTAAGGTTTGGCAGGTTAACAAATGTATTTAAAAGCCATGAGCTTATTAGGTTGCCATTGGAAATTCCCTCTTTGATGGTTTGAATGAAACGAAAGAACAAAATAAGTTTCAGTTGACTCGCCTTACGCTGAAGAAATGCAGAAATATTTGTTTTGTTTCATGAGTTGTGGTGCTTGTTATGTTTAACACGTGTATCAAAAAGATTTATGTGTGAAGAAAAAATGAGCAGTGAAATGCTTGTATGTAGGGTTAGGGTGACAAGAATATAATAATAGAAGAAAATCAGAAAGAAACAGTCCCAAAAGTATTTCCTTTAACACAGATCAAAGGTAAAGTGCTGTACTGTAGTGAACTTAGATATAGTACTTTTACATCCACAATGCTCAAATACGTTTTGGTATTATGATAATAAGGGATAAGAATACATAAAAGACATTAAGTGAAACATCCATTCTAGGCTCAACATTCGTAAACAATAACATTTTTGTATATTCTCATGAAACTACTTCAGTGAACTGTCTAAAAAAATTAATTATCTTTCTAATTGGCAAACAATGAACAACTTTGATTAATATTAATTTATGGAAAAGCATTTGTTGTTGATGAAAATGCATTGTGGAGTTCCACCAGGTTCTACCTTGGAGTCCCTAATATTTGAAATGAATATCCTAAAACTACCATACAAATAAGTGAATACTGTGAGAATGAGAGCAGTCTCTGAAAGGCTTTGGCTACCAGAGCTCTTTCTGATGACTGTTAAAATGTTTTAAAAAGAAAACAGAAAAAACCCACAACAATCAGCGGACCTGCAGACTTGCATTCCTCGTCATCAAAACACACACACACACACACACACACACACACACACACACACACACACACACACACACACACACACACACACACACACACACACACACACACACACACACACCTGTGTTGTGGTAAACTAGTTTTGTCACGATGAAAGCTGAGCATTTCTAGATTAACTATCCATGGCAGAAGGGGTGGATCAGAGGCCCAATTCATCCTGTTGCCTTCCACTGACACAAGTTTATGGGATTACTCATAATGTACAAAACGATCATGTGAAGAAGCCCTAAGCTATTGCAGCACAAACTATGTTGTGTTAACTAATACTAAAGGAGTGGTTGCCTCTTTAAACTTACCATCATGTCTACACGTCCCCTTCATCTCCTCCCAATGGTCCTTCATGATTTTTGAGTAGGGCCTCCCTCCTATCAAAATAAGTCCACAGTAACTTGTTAGTAGTGACGAAACTGATTGAGTATTTCCTGTCTGTGGTTATTATGTCCGGCCTCACAACATCCATTCAGCAGCTGCTTTAAGTGGTAGCTTCTCAGTGTTTCCTGACAGTGACAGAGTCACAGTACACACTCCTCTTTGCCTTTCACTGTGTGTGTGTCCTGTCCTACACAACAAAGTGGGTGTGTCTCCTTGAAACAAGTTGGAAAAGGTAGGTAAAGAGACGGAAGTACACACCCACATACCAGCGAACTGTGGATCTGCTGGGCTACTTACGCATGCTGTAGGTGTGTCTCAGTTTGGGTGTGTGTGTGTGTGTGTGTGTGTGTGTGTACAAGTGGGGTGTCCTCAGAGAACCCATTCCTGTTGTGTTTGTTAGCATTTCCTTGACTCCAGGATGAACGATTAACACCCTGGCAGCTGAGTGTTTGCTACTGTGTATATGTGTGTTCGTGTGTGTGTGTGTGTGTGTGTGTGTGTGCGCGCGCGTGTGTGAAGCCCAGTCCTCTAATATCCGAGGCAGCTGGACAGAATCCCAGCAATGCTGGATCGATGAGAGGAAGCAGCAGGGGAAAGTACCATCCACTTATATTGTGAACTGCATCCAGATTTGAACCAACAACCCTGGCAGTGTTAGTGCCTTGCTCTAACTTCTGATTCACATGTCAGGACTACACACCATCCATCACCACTCCATGAATGAATAAGTTCCACTTCCTGTTGGACTCCAACATATGAACTGAATGATAAACAGCAGTAGAAAGGAGCAGCCAAGAGTCTATGTGAGGAGTCTTCATCTCCATGGTGATGCCAGAGGCAAAGAGCAACTCTGTCTCAGTGCCCGCTTGTCCCCACCCGCCCACACCCTCTCTCTCTGTACACAATGCATTGTGGGAAAGCGGATGTGGTTCTCACACCCTCGATGTGAGGCATCATCCTTTTCCAGTAGCTGTATCGTCAAGAGGCACCACCCAACGACTAGTTTTATTATTGTTATCACAGGCTCCGCCCACATGGAGGTTAGAGGTCACACACAGTGGCTGCTCCTAAATATGGAATAAACAGATACCTGCTTCAGCTGGTTCTGAAGAAAAAAGAAAACATCTGAATTCTCTAAGATCTTTGCGGAAACTGATTTGAGTTTATTTGTGGAGCACTGACAGTTTCATACGATAAAGATAATTCATGAATTTTTAACAAATAAAACTAATTAAAAAACTGAATTCATAGAGTTATGTCAAAATTTTGAACTGTAAAAATAAATGTGGCAGTTTTAACCCAAACATATAGTTGCTTAAAGTCTGCTAGAGCCTTTAATAGAAGAGTTTGTTTTATCCTGGATTAATTTTCAGCGTGCAGGGGAACCCAGACAGGAAGGATTTCTGAAAAAAGTGAATGTCTCTGGGAAACTTAGTTAATCCAAATCTTTGGTTGCAAGTATTTTTGTCCTCTGAACAAGAGAGGAAATACTCTTGTTATATGTTAATAGTATTTTACAATATTAGACAAAAATGTGGTTCTTAAGATTTAGCAGCCCGATGACTCAAATCTGCATCTAGAAATCTTCTTCAACTCCTGGTTGGGATTTTGTTTATTCTGTCTCATATAATCTCTGCCTATCTTTGTTCTAAACGACACTACTGTTCTCCCAAAACCAACTCCTTGAGCATTCAGAACGACATCAGGACCAGCAATACCTAACCTAAAGCCTTTAGTGTGTTTTTCCTCATTAAGGAGCCATTTGTACCCTGCTTCATTTGGAAAGGCCTGGGACATGACAGTAAAAACTAAGACTTAAACATTAAGACCCTACCATAGCACGTATACTTAACTTCCTGTACTCCACTGCACTCACTTTCTGCACTCCCCTCTATGCTTGCACTCTTTTTTCTGCACTCTGGTAGAGTCTGAAGAAACAGGGTGAAGTCAAACACTGTTTCCATCATGGGAGAAGAAGTGGAGGGGGTTGAGGAATACAAGTTCACCTGGACAACAGACTGGACTGGAGAAAGAGCAGTGAAGCTGTTTTCAAGAAGGGACACAGCAGACTGCACTTCTTGAGGACGCTTAGGTCCTTCAGTGTCTGTAGCAAGATGCTGCAGATCTTCTACAAGTCTGTTGTTGAGAGTGTAATCTCTTCAGCTATTGTCTGTTGGGGTAGTAGCATTAGGAAGCAGGGACCTGAAAAGGCTCAGCAGCCTAATAAAAAAGGCTGATTCTGTTCTGGGGACGACTGTGGAACCACTGGAGGAGATAATGCAAAGAAGGATTCTCCAGAGAATCAAGAAATTATGGACAACCCTGAGCATTCTCTTCACAAGGCTGTCCGACAACGGAAGAGTGTCTTCAGTCAGAGGCTTCTTCAGTTTCGCTGCAACACTGACCGCTACTGGAGATCCTTCCTGCCAACAGCCATTGTAATATACAACAACTCTTTGATGACTTGATTATTATTATTATTATTATTCTGAGCTACTACAGCAATCAATTTCCTTCTGGGATTAACAAAGTATTTTTGAATTGAATTGAATTGAATGCATGTGTCTGCTCTGTCTTCTCGATCTCCAGTAAGTCGTGGAGGATGGCTGCTTATACTGAGCCAGGATCCTCTGGAGGTTTCTTCCTGTTAAAAGGGAGTTTTCCTCTCCACTGTCGCTAAATGCTTGCCTAGTATGAGGAATGCTGCAAAGTTGCTGACACCGGTCAGTGACTTGAAGCAATTAGCTGGGTTCCTTATATAGAGCTCCGGGAGTTGACGTCACTTCTCCCAGCATGCAACAGTTCAAATAGAAACTGCGTCATATTGGCAGGTAGAAGCCGGCAGCTGGACTATTTGTAATCGTCAGAAAACTCAATCAGACAGGAAATATGGTAGATTCCTGTTGTGCCCCAGGATGCAGAACAGACACGGACGACATAAGAAATGAGCCATCTACAGGATTCCCCAAGATCTGGAACGCCGCAAACGTTGGATCATTGTAATAAAACGCGCTAGTGACCGGGCTGAAATGAAGCTGTGGGATCCCGAGAGTAAAGGTTTTCGCTTATGCAGCGACCGCTTCATATCAGGTACTTAAACCAACGTTTCCTCAACTGTGTATGGTATTTATTTTAAATACTTTTATTATGATTCTTAGTAGGCTTCCTAAACTTATTTTGGCGTGGCTTTTTCTGTCTTATTACTCACAGCAGCAAGTAAACATCACGTAAAACGTTGCCTCGTGATTTCTGCGTGCTGCCGTTTCCGTGTTTTATGATCACAGCAATTAACCAGCTAAGCTGTATTTAATTTTTAAGCAATGGTTGATCAATTGTCAGATCACACATAAAAAGCACTTTGGATTGCTATTATCTGTCTCACCGAGACAGATCTCAGACAGATCCTGAGATGCTCCTGCCTGACATTTTTATTTTATTCACGGAAAAAAAATCAGACTACTGATTTCTCTTGGCGTTCAGTTTATACATTCAAACAGCACAGCACTCTATTTAAACTACTTAGGTGTAAATCTGTTATTTGTCCATTCATTTTCATCCGCGTATCCAGAGTCGGGTTACGGGGGCAGTAGCGTCGAGAGGCCCAGACTTCCCTCTCCCCAGCCACTTGGGCCAGCTCCTCCGGGTAAATCCCAAGGCGTTCCCCGGCCAGGTCCAGTAAGAAGTCCGCTCCGACAGCTTCTGGCGTTTTAAAAAAGTATCCCAGGGGCACGGTAAGGGTCAGAGATGTTTAGTGTATTTAATTTCTGACTATATAAAACAATTTATTCGGTTTTAAAGTGTGAAGTAAAATCCGACGAAGTAAAATCCAAGCCGATCCCGTTCACGTTCATGGTTACATCCGTGTTTGTTTATCTTTTTTTCCTGCCAATATGGCGTCTACTGAGAGTCACGTGGGGTCTGGAGCTCTATAGGAAACATTTTACTGATTGGCTTAATGGACTGACATGTATTGGAATGCTTACTATGTGAAGTGCCTTGAGACGACTCTTGCCGTGATTTAGCGCTATTTAAATAAACTTGAATTGAATTGAATTTATTTAACAGTCAATGCGTGCAGCTCATCTGTAGGTGGAATGTATGGCAGAAGCAGGAAGACCTAAGAAAATAAAAACTTCAAAAGTTTGGGAGCACTTAATGTTAAACCATGGAAAGACCTTTGTCACCTGCAACATATGTAAATCAGACATGGCATGGCACGGGAGTACGACGGCGATGATGCAGCATCTTAAACGCAAGCATGTCGGAGCCATCAATGAGGAAGGGGAGAGCTCAATCTCTGGGTAAATTACAAAACACTATGTTTATTCTTATAGAGTAATTCACCCCTAGGCCCGGATTAATTAACGTTGTTAGGCAGGGCTGTACATTTATGTTGCACATGCAATAAACTATTTTTAGAAGCAGCACTGGTGCAACATCTTTTCAAGTGACTTTCCCCCAGAACTTTATTGAACAAAGGTCAGTTGCTTTTTATTGTGTAAGGAAGATGCTTTTAGCGGCACACAGTGTGCTAATCTAGGTGCTTTGGAGGAAAACAGAAACCAGCAAGACACAAAGGCAGAAACGATTCAGGATCAAAAGTGTAACTACGGCCAGATTAGCTAATGCTAGCCAGTAGCAGACTCACGATTAAGAGGGGTTCAAAAAAAGACAATGGTCGTGAAACTGAGAATATCTAAACTCTACAAGCGGAAGAAAAGTTGCCATCACCCCGTTTATTCTTAGCTGTCTGCAGCGTTATGGAGCAGAGCTACTGCAGTCGGGTTGCTGCTTCAAGTCTGCTCTACTCAACACTGCTGCAGAATTATAGCACGCCACTATAATACATATGTCACCATTACATTTGTAGCAGTAGAAATTAAATGTTATTAGCATTTCTAGTAGCTCACTACCGATCATGTTAATGAAATACATAAAATTTACTGATCATAGTTTAATTATGATATATTTAGGTGATAGCATGTTGTTTTGCTATTAAACTGTTTTCTAACCATGTTTTGCTGTTAAATAAAGTAAAGGAAGGAGAGAACAAATGTTTCCCTAGCAGTTTTTAAATTTTCCTGTTTAATACGATTACCGTAATCGAGTCGAGACCCCATCTGATTCATTGATGATCCACATAATTGTTTGTTGCAGTCCTACATCTCACAAACTTAACAACTCACACTAGCCTTATCTGTGTGTGTGTGTGTGTGTGTGTGTGTGTGTGTGTGTGTGTGTGTGTGTGTGTGTGTGTGTGTGTGTGTGTGTGTGTGTGTGTATGTGTGTGTGAGTGTGTGAGTGAGTGAAAGAGAAAGTGAGTTAAGCTATAAAAAACAATTGTCTCACTAATTAAGCAAAACTCTAGACAATTCCCCTTCAGCCTTTCTGACAGAATGGGGCCAGATGAAGTCAAAGAGACAGCAGAGCCCCTACCTGTCAGTCCACCAGGTCAGAGGTCAAACATGCTTGTGTAATGTCGCGGGTGCAGATAAATCTCCTGTGGACATCATGTGTCTGTTGTATGGGGCAAAGGTACAATGGAACCACGCCCATCCCTCCCAGAAATTCACAAACACGGAGCAGAATCCTGAAATGCCAGCAATACCGAGGGCGGTAAAGTGCTGAGTCACTGGAGTTTTCAATCAGAGCACAAGAAATACTCACACAGACTCTTAGAACTCATTAGGACTCAAGTTCTACGTAGTACACGAAAACAAAGCACTAGTTGCATAAAGCACAAATAATGCACTTAGTGGAAGGTATTCTGCTAAGATCATCAGACCAGTATGACATTATTATAAGAAAGCCGTTAGCTTTTTCTGTTCGATTCTGAAAGAACAAACAAATGTAAGACAGAAATAACAACCAACCACATGGAAGAACAAAGAGAGGAATGAGCAACCAACCAAACAAAAAGATTAATGTTAAAACAACAAAACAATCTACCAGATCAACAACTGAAAAAATGATGAAACGAGCAACCAAAGAGTAGAAAAACAAATGAATATAAATTACTGACCAACCCATCTCCCCCTAATACCCATAACAATAAAAAGCAACCAAATTAATGAAGGTGTGATCAACGAGCCAACAAACTAAACAAACACAAGGATAGAGTAATGTCCAACTGAATGAAGACAAAAATAACCTGAGGAAGAAATGATAAACTGAATGAAAAATCAAACAACATGCTTCAACGGCTTTTATCAGAAATCACAAGTGGTTTGAGCACTGACCTCTGAAAAGCAGAACATAAAACATGATACCCTGCGCGTCATCTGCTCTGCCGGTGCTCTAATGGCACTTTCACATCTGGACCAGCATGGACCGGACTGGGTAGTTTATAAAATGTTCACATCTTGGTGGCCTTGTATTTTTCCATGCTAAACCGGTCGGTTATTTGACCCGAGGCGGTATGCTTTGGGCTGAACAGGTCCAACACACCCACTGCCAACTGACTGACCAACTTAAATACACGCCTCGGGATCGGGAGCTTCCCGCATGCGCGATTATTATCATTCTGGATGATGAGATTTAAACATCATCTCTGACTGAAACTGTGGTAGCTCCCGGTCTCTCCTCACTACTGTGAGGAGTGCACACACACACACACACACACACACACACACACACACACACACACACACACACACACAGCGCTGCCGTGCCTTGAACTGCACAGCCGTCATTTAAGGGGGACACCACAGACTTTTCGTGTGACTTTTGCCCCGCCCACATGCTCTGAGACTTCCCCGTTCCTGAGAAGTTGTGAGTGAACAAACCCTACCGGTGCGGATCCTGGGCCAACGCCACCCAGCTAGGTCCGTGCTGGCCCTGATGTGAAGCTGCCATAACAAATGGAGGACAATGGAATGAAAGAAAAAAAAACTGAAAAGCTGGAGCACGGTAAGGTTTAAACAGGTGCAAATAAAAAGGACTACATGCTAACATTTTGACACCCCACATGTCTTCGTCAGAGTTTTTTTGGACAGTCTTGGCGGAGTCAAACTCTCACTAGGAACGAGCCTGACCTACTGTCGGCAATACCCCATACTCCCAAAGTACCTTCCACAAGGCCCCCCCGAGGGACAAGGTCAAACACCTTCTCCAAATCCACAAAACACATGTAGATTGGTTGGGTGAACTTCCACGCACCGTCCAGGACTAGGATGTCTAAGGAAGATCCCGCCTTTCTTGCCTATGATTGGCTAGAAAGGCTCTACTACGATTGGCTATTTCATGTAGCAGCAAACCGGTTGTCCCCACATGCCACCAGCAGAAAACTGTTTAATAAATAAAATGTGAACTAAACGCTATAATAACCATTCTGTGCTGAATTGCAAAATGTTTTATGTTTCATTGAAAACTGAAAAACGTAAAATCCATAAGTATACATAGGATAAACACATGTGCCTTCCCTGGGTATGAAATTTAATAAAACTGCACTATTCTGCCCAGCTGCGTGCAGCAGGTCTTCTTTCTTTTGTAGAATAATGAAAAACTAGTCTAAACCACTGCGATGGACTGGCTCTGTCCAGGGTGTACCCCGCCTGATTGCCCACTGACCACTAGAGATAGGCACACCCCCGACCTTACATGGACAAAGCGGTTCAGACAATGGATGGATGGATCGTCTAAATCATAATCCGCTTCAGCTTAATTTTTTATCAAATGACACACGTTTAAAGTGATGATTAGAGATGTGCTCTAATTTGTAAACAGCTTTAACCTACTAAAGTGAATACATAGGATAGCCTAATAAGTAAGTGATAACCCCAATAGTGCCAACAGGTAAAAAGTCAGTCTAACAGTGTAATAAAATGCAACAAGATTTAATACAGGTTCACATTTGACGTTTTTCAGGTTCTTTAATGAAAGAAACTGAAACGGGTTTGTTGCAAAACAGGAAAGGATGTTTATCATAGCGATGAGTTTACATTTTCTTCCAAAATTTCCTCAATATCTGGCTGTAAACATAAAAACCTGCAGCGAGGGAAAACAGTTTCCTCATACATGAAATAGCCAATCGTAGGAGAGCCCTTCTAGCCAATCAGAGGCGAGAAAGGTGGGACCTTCCTTGGACATACTAAGATTCCAAATGACACGTCCAGGACCCCCCCTTAAGGGTTTAGAGCTGGTCCAGTGTTCCACGGCTAGGATGAAAACCACATTGCTCCTCCTGAATCTGAGGTTCTACTAACCAACGGACCCTCCTCTCCAGAACCCCTGAATACGCTTTACCAGGGAGGCTCAGGAGTGTGATCTCCCTGCAGTTGGGACAGACCCTGTGATCCTCCTTTTTAATTAGCGGGGCCACCATCCCAATCTGCCAGTCCAGTGGAACTGCCACTGATGTCTATATAATAATGCAGATCTGTGTCAACCCACACAACTCAGAGCCTTAAGGAACTCCTGGTGAATGTTATCCACTCCTGGGACCTTACCACCAAGGAGTTTTTTGACCACCTCAGTGGCCTCATGACCAGAGATTGTAGAGTCAGACCAATCTCCGCTCTGTCACTGGAAGACACGTTGAACAGGAACATGCAAGGGGCAGCAGAGGATTCTGGGAGCAGGAGAAACCTTTGCCATCTACGGGGCATCTCAGTGAAACGCGGTTCAATCATTAGTGTTGAGGAAATGTTTATTCCCAAAGAGAACAGAGTTTAACCATACAGGCATAACATTTATGTTCCATTTAAACCTCAAGAGTCGGTGCAACCGGCTGTGGATTGCCTGAATGAGGTGAAGGGCTGGCTTTATAATAAATAACATTAGCCAGGTGGTTAGATCCTGCTTTTTCCAGTTTCACCGGCTATCAAAGATGGAAGTCCATCCTGACTAGACGTGACCTGCACATAGTGATTCATGCATTTGTGATCTCTCACTTGGATTATGCGAATTCCCTTTTTGATGGATCTATGTCTTCCTCGGTTGAGCACCTACAGCTGGTGCAGAATGCGGCGGCCCGTCTTTTGACGGACACCAGACGGAGGGAGCACATTTCTCCTGTTCTGACCCAGCTGCACTGGTTCCCGGTGCCTACCGCATCCGGTTTAAAATTTTACTTCTTGTTTTTAAGTCACTCTATCTTTATGCGCCTCTGTACTTGACTCAGGTTACAGGTCCCAAGTGTTTGGGTGAGGACACGAGGAGGACGAACGTTCGCAATCTGTGCGCCTCGTCTCTGGAACCAACTCCCTCTAGCAGTGAGAATGGCCCTCTCTATCTCGGATTTTAAATCACACCTGGAGGCTCATTTTTATTCCTTGGCTTTTACTTCAGCCTAGTTAGCCTTGTACTATGTCTCTGTTTTATTTTTATTGTTGATTTTATAGTAGTTACTGTACTACTTTTATTACTTTCTTCCCGTGTGTTGGTTTTTATGCTCTTTTACTGTGCAGCACTTTGGTTGGCCTCGGCCGTGTAGAAATGTGCTTTATAAATAAAATGGATGGATGGATGGATAAGAATTACGTTTCTTGAACCGTTTCTGTATGGTATCTCATAAGTAAGCAAGTTTCTAAATAGCATTATTTCAGGTAAGCAGATTAAATAGCAACAGCTGGTAACAAGCCTAAAAACAGTTCTTTCAAGGGCCTTTCCAAAATATTTCAAAGCCTCAAAAGTGTGTTTAACTCACAGGAAAACCCCTCTCATGTCACTGGAATTCCAAAAATTCATGAGACCTTTTCTCTCAAATAATCTGTTTCTGGGAGTCAGAAATGGGAGAGAAATGAGACTACCTGAGGAGGATTACACATTTAGACATAATTTATAAGGCATCAGCATTTAGTCAATAATATGAAACATGACCCCAAAAAAACATTCCATTTCATTCCAGCAGAAAATTCCTACATTTTCTCTCAGCTTTGTATCTCCGACTGGTTTCCACCAGTCTCTGTCCAGCGAGAGACTGGACTCAATCACTTCAGGAAAATGTCCTCATCTAATGCTGATAGTCAGTCAAAGCATTCTAAAATAGGTAAAGTCAACAGGAAACGACAAGCTTAAATGACGAGCCGTGTATTTTAAATGTTAATTTGTATTCCATTAAGTACCCATGGCTCACAGTTTGTTCTAGTAATACAAGCTCTTACAGGGTTCCTCGTGTTCCAGGTAGTAGAATCTATTTGACGCGATAATCAAACAGACTTTTAAATGTCTAGAACCAGATTTCTTAGTGTAACCTGATTATATGAAACACCAATGTGGAACAACTTACAGAATAATCAGAATCATCCACTCCAAGGCTGGATATCCAATCTTTGACTAATCCTCCTGAGGTTGTGTCTGTTCTCCTTCACAGGGCTGGTGCCACTTTCACACTCAGTGTGTGAGTGTGTGTGTGCACCGTCATTCATAGTGCAACAGAGTTAGAAGTGGCGTCACAACAACCCTGACTCAGCTCTGACTCAACAACAGACACACACACACACACACACACACACACACACACACACACACACACACACACACACACACACACACACACACACACACACACACATTCCAGCTCTTCTGTTTAGGAACAGGAACAGGACCACTTACCACCAGATCTACAAAATCAAACTACCACTAGAAAACAGCTGAGTCATACTTGTGATTTACTCACACTGAGGGTTACCACATGAGTTCATGCATGTGTCGTGTGTGTGTGTGTGTGTGTGTGTGTGTGTGTGTGTGTGTGTGTGTGTGTGTGTGTGTGTGTGTGTGTGCGTGTGTGTACCCAACAGGTGCTTACTCAAAACAAAACACAAAAGAAACACTGACTATGAAATCTGTTTCCAGTCCACACATGAAATCATAATAGTTTATCTCATTCTCGCCCTTCCTCTTCTAAATGTCCCCACATTTCAAGGGCCACATGTTTAGAGGCAAGAGGGAGTGGACGTGTGTAAAGCCAGGGAAACATAACACACACACACACACACACACACACACACACAGCCATTAGAAGCGGGTAGGATCACGCCGAGCACCCACACACACATTCTTTTCATTCCTCAGGCAGGTAAACAGATAGGTTCTCAGACAATGAACAATCTGAGCACACTTTAACTCCAGCAGATATTCTGAGTAGAACCACACACACACACACACACACACACACACACACACACACACACACACACACACACACACACACACACACACACGCACACACACGCACACACACACACACACACACACACACACACACACACACACACACACACACACACACACACACACACACACACACTTGCAGGTACAGTGTGAAAGATTCAGACCTTGTTGTAAGACGGCATCGTTCTGTTTGATAAATCTGCTGGAGCCTGAAGAGACAGAAGACAGAAAACACACAGTTACATAAGAACTCAGAGTAATGGACAACATATCCTCACCGACTGACCTTCATGATGCAGCAGCCAGCAGGAAGAAAAATAAGCATGGAAAGAACTAGAAGTTATATAAACAGCACAAACACTTTAGATGTGAGAAGTGAGGCTATGACTCACACACACATACGCACGCATGTAAACAAACAATCAGAACCAGCCCTCTGCACCGCCGCCTTAATTTCCATGTTAAATAGGATCCATTTAAGTCTGTGGGACCATTACCTTTGACCTTGCATTTGTTTCCTCCTACTGTACTTCCTGTTCCTATGAATGATATCTTTTTGAGGGTTTAGGATAGAATTGTGAGCAGACAGTGAGTCTAAACTCACCAAAACTCTTTAGTCTGATAAGAGCCACAGTCTGAACCCTGGATGAGAATCACAACTGACAGGAAAAAATAAAATCATTTAAAATCTGATCAAATCTTTAATAAACGTGTTGCGACTACCGTTTTAAACTACAGATGTTCATCCCATCTAAAACTTGAGGTTTCTTTCTCCTTTGAGGCAAACCCATCAATAACGTAAAAAAATACATATCTGTGACGCATTTAGCTTGAGTAAGTAATATGATAACCCCAATAGTGCCAACAGGTAAAAAGTCAGTCTAACAGTGTAATAAAATGCAACAAGATTTATAAAAAGTTGACATTTGACGTTTTGCAGGTTCTTAAATGTAAGAAACTGAAACGGGTTTGTTGCAAAACAGGAAAGGATGTTTATCATAGCGATGAGTTTACATTTTCTTCCAAAGTTTCCTCAATATCTGGCTGTAAACATAAAAACCTGCAGCGAGGGAAAACAGTTTCCTCATACATGAAATAGCCAATCGTAGGAGAGCCCTTCTAGCCAATCAGAGGCGAGAAAGGTGGGACCTTTCTTGGACATCCTACGACGCATCCAGGAGGAGAAACCTTTGCCATCTACGGGGCATCTCAGTGAAACACGGTTCAATCATTAGTGTTGAGGAAATGTTTATTCCCAAAGAGAACAGAGTTTAACCATACAGGCATAACATTTATGTTCCATTTAAACCTCAAGAGTCGGTGCAACCGGCTGTGGATTGCCTGAATGAGGTGAAGGGCTGGCTTTATAATAACTTTTTACATTTGAACGGATCTAAGTTGGAGGCTCTTTTATTTGTTCCTCCCTCTCCCACAGCAGTTAGTGCTGTCCTGCCACCATGTTTCTGCAGCTTAGTGAAGCCAACCATCACTAACCTGGGGGTGGTTTTGGACCCAGAGCTGCGGACTCTGACAGCCAGGTGGTTAGATCCTGCTTTTTCCAGCTTTACCGGCTATCAAAGATGGAAGTCCATCCTGACTAGACGTGACCTGCACATAGTGATTCATGCATTTGGGATCTCTCACTTGGATTATGCGAATTCCCTTTTTGATGGATCTATGTCTTCCTCGGTTGCGCACCTACAGCTGGTGCAGAATGCGGCGGTTTCAATGCTGGGATCAGACAGTTTACCTGTCAGTTCATGCACTTCAGCCTTTTCACCACTAGAGGTCAGCAGTGTGCTTCTGGAGCCTCTCCAACAAACAACCGCTTTCTTCTTCTTGATTAAATTGGATTGGATCAGGGCTCTTCAACTTGACTGGGATATTCTCCAACTTACATCCATAACAAAGTCAAATGAGCTCACACTGAGCAGTTTTATCTCCAGATGTCAATGAGACTGCATTTTGCTGAGTAATTTGGGCACCAATCTGAAAAGGTCCAGGAGTGTGTAGTTAGCATTTCTTTGAACCTTAGTGCTGTTCCCCTGCAGCAGCTACTGCAGGGGAACAGCAGTGAACTCTCTCTGAGCCTCTGTGCTACACAAAACTGTACATGCAAGACAAGCCGAGTTCAAATGCACAGGTCACTATCAAGTTAAAGTAAATCAGACATTTTAGGCTGTTTGAGAAAATCTGTGTTCATGGAGAGTAAACCCCAGAGCTCCAAGAGCAGCTGGTGTTTGGTTCTTGTCTCAGTGCACTCAGCCAGGTGGTCATGTGACCATCAACATGGTTTTCACAGCCCAGATGCACCTGTGTGAGACGCAGATGCTGTAATGAAACCATCATCCTGCCAAGCAATGACAGACCAAGCCTCCTTACTGCTAATTTAGCTAAAAAGCTGAGCAGCCATTGACCCAATTTGTTTCTCAGTTTTAAACTGAGAAATTCCTCTGATGGAAATGAAAAAAAAAACTAAATAACAAAATTAGTTATTTCATCCATGCACACACTCAGCTATCCATGGTCCCATGAATCCAACACTGAATAGCTGCCCAGATTCAGATCAGAGGGGTCGTTCCTACCAACCACACCTCTCCAGGTCTCACTGTTGTTGTCCACATGAGCATTAAAGTCCCCCAGCAGAACAAGG